TTATCCATTAGATGAAAACAATGTAAATCTAAACTTGATATCATCATCATGGAATTCCTCATTGATTCATATCTAATATAATACTGTTGCCAATGACTTTTTCCAATCATTAAAAGAAAGAAACTTTGAATAACAATTTGAACGATCGAAAATGTTAAAAACTAATTAAACTTCAAAAAAGCATCTTCTAGCATGAACAACATCGATTTTGTGGTTTGAAGCAATTTTTGCAAATTTGAAGCAAGTCCCCCAAATAGACTGAAGATACCACTTTTAGAAAAACTTTTTTGTTTGATGAGCTTTAGGTCTATATTAATTAAGTTGAGTTTACATTTTCTCTATTTGAGTAAAACTATTATTAGTGCGGTAAAATTAGGAATCGACTTAAATATTTTTACATCTTTTAACTTGATTAGGGTTGAATCTCAACTTATTATGTAACAAACCACAATTTAACTTATATAGACCTAAAGCTCATTAAACAAGAAAATTTTGGAGAATGTGTGGTGTCTTCAGTAGAGTTGAGGGATTATAAAAAAAATCGCAAAGAATCCTTTATTTTATGAAAAACCAAACATACCGTAGTTTCTCTCATTTAAGTCTCTCAAAGTCTCATTTAAATGGTTTTAAAATAGAAAAGATTTTCTTTGCGTTTAATGTAAATTTAATCTAGTTTACTATATATGTGTATATATATATATATATATATATATATATATATATATATATATATATATATATATATATATAGACACACACACACACAGGCACTATCTCTTATTCTATATTCACCTTGGCGCCATTTTATATTCCAGCGTCTATAAGAACACAGACATTCAAATTTCCTTACAGCTATGTGGACATAGTAAATTTATATGGGCCCAAACCTTAGTCTGAAATAAGTCACCTTTTTTACCACGAGCTCCCAGACTATTAGGCAAATGGCCATAGACCGTACCCCGGATGAGGAAATCGATCCGATTATTGAAATCTCCGGCGACTTAGGAAGAGGCTGAGGATCGCGGTGGGGATGGGGGAGTGGGGGCGAGTGGGGCGAGTGGGGGGCGACCAGGGGGCCAGTCGGCACCGAGCCCGCCACTGCAATGCGGGACACATGGACCCACCTTCAGAATTAGGTACCCCAAGCGAGCTTTTCGCACTTATCTACTTTTGCATTTTTTTTTTTTTTTTTATGTTGCAATGCATTTTATAGGATGAGGCCTTTTTCAAGTAGTTTTGGTCCCTAAATGATAAATTTTAGAAATAATTAAAAAATTAATGAAAGTGCCAAATTTATTTTTTAGGATCTTGACTAAATCATAACTTGTATTGCAACAGATATATTGTCAATAAAAATTGACCTATGTAATATAAAATGTTGTCCTTGTATGTTTTATCAATTAAAAAAAAAATTGAAATCTCAAAATATAATACTTGTACAAATTTACACAAAATCTTCAATATTCTTTAAAAAAACTCTTCAACTATAAATAGTAATTGTAAAAATATAATAATATTACCATATTACCTTAATTATACCAGCATTTTTGAGATTGGAAAAATAAATTTAATGCTTATAAATCGTTAAATTTTCAAATAAGTTGGATTGTGTATATAATTTCACATATATCATATTGTAGGAATTAAAATTAATAATATATGTTAATTTTTAAAAATATTTATTCTTTTGTTTTTAGATAGATACCTAAGAAGATTCATGAAAAAAAGTATTTTTCGTAAAGTTGATTTATTAATTTAATCATGATATATGATGGATCAGGACCCTTTCATTTTATTTTAACAAAAAAAAAAAAAAAAAAAAAAAGAAAAAATTATTTTGTGACAACTGATAGAAGTTGCATAGTTGTGTTAATTCGGGTAAAAAGGGAAATTAAGTATTTAGAAGCTTTGATGTTTTTCTGGTTTAAAAATAAGTAAAATGAATTTCATTCCTAGTGAAATATTTCAATTTTGAATGACTAAATGAAATTAAATTAGCCAACAATTGTAGAAAAAAAGATAAATGATAATTAATAAAAAAAAGATAATTAATAATCATGATAACTTTGGAGATAATAAATATAAGAGCCCAGTCTCATGTTGACATACAAATAAAAAAAAATAGTTAATAAGCGGTTCTAACGTTAATATTTTTGTCGACTCAAAAATTTAAACTTTTTAAAGGTAAATTAAAGATATTTTTGCTATTTGTTAATTGTTAAAAACAGTTTCATTTATTTTAACAAAAATCTTTGATTTTAATTATATCTGTATAAAAAGAAAAAAATACATGCACAAACTTCTATTCGTATAAATAAAACAGAAATTGGGGGGAATTATCATAGAGAAGAGAGAAGAATTAAAATAATATTAATTTTAGTAGAACATTAAACCAACAAATAAAATAAATGAATAATCACTTAACTTATAACTTGAAAAAAATATGACTCAGAAAAAAAAAAGAAATGATCTTTATAATCGTGGAGACCTTTCATAGAAACAACTTGACTTCTGCTATGAATAATGTATACCCAAGCAGTAATTAGTAGAAACACCAATAAACCCATAAACCCAAAATTACTTCGAAAAACAACAATCATTTGAACACTTTGAAGACGGGACAGTTCAGCCATCAGCTAGTACAAAAATGAGGACGAGTTTTACATTGGGTATTTGCATATTTGTGATTACAAAACAAGTCACAAAATTAGACAAATCCCAATATAGTCTGTATGTACATATTTAACAAATATACAAAATGATAAAAAAGAAATTCTGATAAAAAAACGAAATCATGTAGGTTCTTTCATATTGGAGTAAAATTATTCATTATATAAATATATGTTTATTTTGCACGGTAGTGTAGCAGTTATACAAATAGTACACATCATGTTCCTTATTAGCATTTTTGTTTTAGTTGTACTTGTTTTTCTATGAAACGGGTTAATTTTGAAAAAGATTTGCTTTAAATAAGATATAAATAAAAAAAAAAATGTTTTAAAATTTAATAGAACAATAGCCCATGTATTCAGTAATTGTAACAGAATTTCTTGCCCGTTAAATCTTGAAAGAATTTATGTCATATCACATAAACTTCCTTTGTCTTGACCTCTTAGAGTTCGAATTAAATACCAAGAAAAATAAAATACAGGATTCATAGTAAAAATAACATTGAAGGAAATTCAAAAAGAAATAAAAATATTATTTTTATCCCAAAAGACTTCCCATGCTCTTTAATTAATCTCTTTTCTTAAGGAAGAAGAAGGGGAGGGGAACAGGGCTTTCTTATCTCCGCAAACGTGCAAACGTTTTAAAATTAGATTTTTGTACTGTATAAAAAAAGAAAACAAAACAAACCAATATTGCTATTTTTACATATTTGAAGGGTTCAACTTTTTGATATTCCGATTGAATCAGAATTACTGAAATTGTTAAAATTGGAAAATAGAATCGTTAATGTGATTTTAAATAAAATATTGTAAGTATTCACAATTTGAACTATTTTTTAAGAATAAAACAAGACAGATTTAGGCACTGATAATGATTTGTTAACTGGTTAGCAGTGCTATTTTTGTTTTGAATTTTTAAATTCATAATTAAAATTAAGAACTTGTTTTATTAACAGTTATTATGCACGTTTACATCGATTATAGAGAAATCGGGGATTGTATATCGTGCAGAAACTGTAAATTTATTTTTTATTTCAACTCAAATAATTTTAATTATTTTTTATTGTCATAATTATATTATTCTAAAATTTTATTATTTTACTAAAATATGTATACATACATATATGTATGTATGTTATAAAAAAGAAGAAGGAATGGCATTTATTTACAAAATACAATTTTTTTATCGTTTGGAAAAATATAAATCAGCGTTTATAAGCGACTGAAACCTTCGAAAAATTAATATCTTAAAATTGTCTGAAAGTCCTTAGAAATGTTCTTATGAATTTCATTTATAAAATAACTGAAGTGTTTTTTATTTATTATACATTTTTACTATAGAGGCCTTTAGAACAAATAAAAAACAGCTTACTACACTTTTCTAAAATTTCAAGGAGTTCATAAGTATTTTTATATAGAAAATATGAACACGTGAAACTTTAAGAATTTTTATTTTATTGAGTAATATGATCTGCCACGTGGACAATGGTTATAGTGAGCTAAGACCACATCCAGGCCATATATATATATATATATATATATATATATATATATATATATATATATATATATATATATATATATATATATATATATATATATATATACATGTATACAGAAAATATAAAATACACAGGAGCAAAACAACTACTAGATAATGATCTAAAATTATATACAATAAAATAAAAAAAACGACACATACATACCTATATATACAATCAGTCGAGGAAACTCCGATGCAGGCTTGTCCTATTTGTAGTATAGTATATGAGTATGAATATAGTTGTATAGTATAATACTATACTATTATACAGATATATATCATTTTAATTCTAACACAAGTCTTAGAGTTTTTTTATTTTGCTTTTAACTCACGAAGTAATAGAAACATAATATTTTTTTTAACTTATGGTTTGTGATAAAAAACGTCACTTTTGCTTTGTTTTTTAATCCTCTGTAGCCATAACTCAAAAATAATTCGCATATAAAGCTAAATTAATTTAATTTAATTTTTAAAAATTCAAAATAATCTAGGTTTCCAATATTATCAGTTAATACTTAACCACAGTCACATTAACCTAAGTACTGTGTTTGTATTTAAACATATAACATTTTTATTACTACACTTATAAAACTGTAGTTTTTTAGATCTTCGGATTAGATTGAAAATTCACGAATGTAAAAAGCGAAGTGAAATATATAGTACAGTTTGGTGTGAAAATTGGCGAAAAGTTGTTTATTAGTATTTTAAAAATATCTCTTACTCTTTTATTTTCTTATTTCCAGATAGGTGGCAATTATATTCACACATGAGATGTCTTTGTTTATAAGATGATGGACCATGTTTTGTTTACAAGGAAAGAAACTAAATCCAGAAGGCGCATTAACACTTGTCTTTTAAGGCATTGTAAGTAAAAGGCGTTGTAGAGGCTTCCTCCTTTGTTACTTGCGTTAAAGGCCACTTTTATGTTTGATCTACGATACCAGATACAGGATGAGAATCAATTTTAAGCTCAAAGTATTATATCAGTTATATAATATCCAACGAATAGATTATGCTAATTAGATTGAGTAAAATAGGAAAATAATTTATTCTGGGATAAAGCTCCTTAAGAATAATAAAAGTTAACAGAAAAATAAAGATTATTTTTGAGCAATAGATGTGTTACTTCTACCTAACCCCCTTCGTTTCCCTTCAGATAATAAAAACAAGGAGGCTCCCCCCAAATATGGATCTGCAAATATTATTTTTTTCTGAAACGGATTGATAAGTATTTAGCATTCCTATGTAGTGGGGCAGCACAACTTTAAAATAAAATATTTCTCTCTCACCCTCTCCCACAGTATATATATATATATATATATATATATATATATATATATATAATTTTTCGATATTTACATTTGTTTTTTTGCCTTCTTTTCCTGATAATTTTTTTAAAAATGTTTTTGATGTTCATCATATTAGTCGTTACTAAGCTCTTCGGTTTTCCTGGAATATTGCCTTCTGAAACATTTTAATACATATTAATGTCATTCATCAATTTGTTATCCTGATAGGAATATTTTTAATAATATCCTTCATCATTTTACTCATTTATTTTCTTAGTGACATTTCGGAATAATAACTAGAGTATGAAATAGGCGTATAATTCAGCTAAAATTATCAGATGAAAGTAGACTCATCAACTTGGTATTCATAACAAACATGTAGATAATCTATTCAATATATAATTATTGACATTAATATTAATTGATCTGCATGGAGAGAAGATCGTTACATAATAAATTATCAATATCTGAGATAGACCAACATTAACAGAGCTTTCTTCCCTCTTTCAAGGATATTACTTCAATTAATTACCTAACACTCAAATCAAGGGTCTGGAATGTTGTGGTAAAGTGAGCACTAATGTACTACCGCGAGGCTTGGACTTTAACCAGTATCCTAAAAGAATTGAAAACCTGTTGGATAAAGTCCTCAGCATGATAACCAGAGCGATCTAGGATCAGAGTGCTGACCAATAAAGAACTGCTTACAGTAGCTTGTCAAATTATATCGCATGGTATGATGGCAAGGAAGTTAAACTAGACGGGGCGTGTAGCTCGAAGCAATCCATCCATCAGAAAACCTCAACAACGGATGTAGCAATAGTTGGCCAGAGACCGCGTGGGAGACCAAAAACCTGATGGATAGATGGAATGGACAAAGATGGTGCAGACCTATATGGAAATAAGAGAAAAAGAAGTGGCCAATATAGGAGAAGGTGGAGGAGGCCTATGCTAGCTTTTTATCTTAATGGCTGCTAAATGCTATAGTTTAACTTGATAGATTTAGGGAAATATGAAATTACATAAGAAATGGCTAATAAGTAAAGATATGTTTTTAATTAATGAAGAGATATAGAAAAACACAAGAGTTGTATTTTAATGGAAACAATTTTAAATTTATGTTAATTATAGGAAAAACATCATACATTGATTAGACAAGATAAAGTGATGCTATTAAAACTTGTACCTTTTAATACATTAAGAAAATAAAAAAGTAAAAATATGAATGTGTTTTATTAAAAATATTCCTATCAGCATAAGCAATTGTAACAGAAATTAAAAGCCTTCAATATAAAAGAGAAACAAATAAAATCTTTAATTTATGTGGTTTTGTATTGTTCTTTCTCTCTAATCTCTCTCCTTCGATTCTACATTCAATAAAGAGTTTTGAGAAGTATTAAAATATCTAATTGTATAAATTGAATTAACAAATGCACTAATTAATTCAATTGAAAAACCTAGTCTGTTTAAAAAGTTAAGTTTATTTTAATGGGACGGGGAAGTTTACTGATGGCATTTCAATGAGTTGCTAATGCTTTGTCGTAATGAAAATGGGCAGGCAATTTCTATTGAGATTTTATCACGTTAATTAATGTTTAAATAATATTGTGTAACACAGGTTTATTAGGTTTTGTTAGAATTGAGTAGTTAGATTAAATTAGTAATTACCTTAAGTCTCTTGTCTTATATGTTATTAGATGCGCCCCCCTCCCTGGAAGCTTTAAAAAAAATTCCAAAAAAGTTTCAAAAAGCACTTCCCCCTTGGATGCTGGAAACAATTTACGAAAAAACACCAATCTAAAGAAAAGAGAAAATTCATCCTCATACATGAATTTCCTAATGTAATATTAAAAAAAAAATATTATCTTGACCAGCACTAGCGAATTCTGCCAGGGGGCGCGCCCTCCCTTGGGTGCGGGAAAAAAAAATACGAAAAAACACCCATATAAAGAAAAGAGAAATATAGTAAAAATTGATCCACATAGACGAATTTTGTAATGTGATAAATATCATCATCACTAGTGTTTATAAAGAAAACTTTAATGTAACTGGATATCTAATTATTGCATGGTTATTCCAAAAAAAGAAACTATCATGTAATCGATTGTAATTTTGTAGATAATCTTGACTATTATCAAATGCATTTTTTTTAACGGAATCACTTCATAAAGCAGATTTGTAAATAGCCGAATTCAAATAAGCATACTGGTTTCGAATGGAAGAAGAGGGGGGAAATTGAGGAAATTAATTAATGGAGAAAATGAAATTTATTTAATTTTTTCTGTTTTCTGGGAAATTGTATGTTATTCTTTGTTATTTGGCATAGATGACTTCCAATTAAATAACAATTGAATTTATTTGTTGTATTTCCAAATTACATGTTAACGTTGCGGGATATTTACTCCCATGTTCAGAACTACAATCCCAATGTTTTTTTGTAGATACATGGCTAAAAAAATTGAGTTAAAATATAGTGCATGTTACAATACATGTCAGAATTGGGTTGTTACATCAAATTTGTGATTACCTTAAATCTAATATTTAGAAAATAAATGAATTGTTTCAATATTAAAATGAAACCAGATGGATGTTTAATAAGAATGTTTATTCTTCTTTTTGCTGGGAAGTCGTATGTTATTCTCTGTTTTTGGCAATAATAACTTCCAATCAAACAACAATTGATTTATTTGTTGTTTTTCCAAGTTTACATGTTTACGTTTCGGGATATTTACTCTTCAGAACTACAGTCTCATGTTTCTTTGTTGATTAATGGCTAAAAATGAGTTAAATATAATGTATGTTACAATACATGTTAGAATTGAGTAGTTAGATTAAATTAGTAATTACCTTAAGTCTCTTGTCTTATATGTTATTAGATGCGCCCCCCTCCCTGGAAGCTTTAAAAAAAATTCCAAAAAAGTTTCAAAAAGCACTTCTCCCTTGGATGCTGGAAACAAATTACGAAAAAACACCAATCTAAAGAAAAGAGAAAATTCATCCTCATACATGAATTTCCTAATGTAATATTAATAATGCTAATAATTCCTAATAATGCCCAGGGGGCGCGCCCTCCCTTGGGTGCGGGAAAAAAAATTACGAAAAAACACCCATATAAAGAAAAGAGAAATATAGGAAAAATTCATCCACATAGACGAATTTTGTAATGTGATCAATATCATCATCACTAGTGTTGCCCAAAATTGGTCTCGGTCTTACAGTCTTGGTCTTGGTCTCGGTCTTGCATTTTTGCAAGATCAAGACCACAAAAATTGTTGCAAGACCAGACCCTTCAAGTCTTGCGCAAGACCAAGACCAGACCCTGCAAGCCTTGTAGGTCTTGCAGTTAAATGAAATTGCGACTATTTTCAGATATCGTACGGTGCTTAAACGTTTTAATCATCTATTCTAAACAGCGTTGTTTTTTCTTGTGGAATTATATATTGGAGTATAGCTTTCCAAATTATAATAAAAAAATTAATCTTTTTTTTTGTTCTTCCCTACCTCGCCTTTTTCCGCGGGCCAAGGGGTGAGGTCGGGGAATTAATGCCAGAGTTAAAAGAACTCATGATTATTTTATTGCCTCCAACTGCGGTTATCGGGTTGCCTGGCAAGGCGCTGTTCTGTGCACACTCGTTAGTCCGCTCGACCACCCCGCTCCTAAAAATTAATCATTTGTCAGAACCGGAACAAGATAAGAAAACAAAACAAAGAACGGTTTTCATGAAGAAAAATTACTAAAAATACTAGGCCGTTTTAGTTATTACAATGGAACTTCTCTTCAAGAAGCGAACATTGACGGGGAATCAAAAATTGCCCGCTATAAAGAGATGTATGTTTAAGAAAAATTGGAAGGAAAACATGTTAAAAAATAACATTTAGAAAACTATTAAAACATTTTTCTTTTTAAATTTACAAATAAAAACTATTTTTATGAGAAATTTAATAATATATTTTGCATAACAATATTGCACATAACAAAGGTAAACTTGATTGTATATAGAAAAAAAAATACTAATTTGTAATTTTTGTTTGATCTAGCATAAATATTTTGTTTTCCAATTTGTTACAGATAGATAAAATCGTTACAATTATTCCACTATCCTCGTTGAAAATGAACATTGGTTTTCAGCCAACTAATTTGTGAGAGAACTTCTTAAATATTCATTAAGAAATTCTTTAATATTCACTCTGAGACCTCGAAAATGTATTGCCAGCTCAAAGGTCCAGCGCAAGTATAATTGTTCAAAAGTATAATTGTTCGCAGGAGGGTTAATATTCAAGACTGGCGAAACCATCTATATGTTACTGTAACAACGGCATAACTCCAAAGAAATTATTTTTTTGCATTATCATTTCCTTGCTTGGCCCGCTGTTCATAGTATTCGTTATTTCTTTAAAATGTCTAACCACCATGTTATAATGTATTGTCTAAATTGCGAATACTGAGCTTTCTGGTATACTCATTAGTAACATAACTTTTTCTTAGAAATTTAACCGGAATCATGTTGACATAGTACAATCAAATGAGTGGAAATAGCAAGAAAGAGCTAAGACTCTAAATTCTATTTAAAAACCGGATTCCCTGTATTCATAATGGAACTAAGCGATAATATAGTGGATTTATGTTCTCAGAATACGAGCTTCATAATTTCCTTGCGTATAGTGATTCCTAACTGGATTTTTTTGGTCAATTCTATAATTCTATTATTTTTTAGCAGATTTCCTTGTTTCTTCGTTTTATAGGAACACAACTATGTGATATACCCTATTATGTGAGCAATGAATATATCATCTGAAATAATATATGAAAATAAATGACACTGTGGTAGATGACGTGACATATCATATTATAATATTCAATTTTTTTTCGAGCATTAGAAATTAGGAAATTTTTTTTACTATAATTGAAAAATAGCGGTAGTGGAATTTTGTTATTTTCTTTATAAACGTTGATGATTTAGCGGACATCGAAATCTAAAGCCGTCAATTCTTCTTTGATTTCATCAGGTGGAGTTAAAGGGTGGAGACCTCTTATCACTACTCTCAGTGCTCTCTCTTCATATAACTAATACATGTGAAATTCAGCCTTTGATTCTGTTAAGCATTTCACAATTTTTTGTATTTATCCGGAGAATCCGGCATTAGTTTGGTGCCATTGGTTCTACTATGTCATAAATATTTACCGTTGTCAGTTATTCTATTGAGATGCTGACAAAATGAAGGAAATTTTTTAATATTTCGAACAAATATTGGAGATGGTTTTGACTCTCGGGGGGTTGGTGCTGCTGCCATTGTATTTTATGACGATAATAGCTGGTATGGGTTGGTGGTGAAGAACGGAGATTCGTCTTTTATTTGTGTTGAAGAACCAGGTTGTGGATCATTAATGGTTTTAGTAGGTCTCTCAGGTGTTGATGGCGGTGTATTAATATTGGAACGCCTTGGCCTTTGCTTAGCAGATGAGCTTTGAGAGCTGTTGTTACATAAACCTCTTGATCTTTTACTTTTGGTAGACATTATCATGTGATAATATCGCATTTAAATAATCTGGCTGAAAAAGTAAAATAGATGTGTAAATAATTACGTGGACGGGTGGAGCGCCGAGTGACGTGACCCAACTCCTCAGTCAGCCGTCCGGCTATCGAATGAGTGGGGGAGACTGCTTATAGATAAAATATCATAGTTAAACTCTCCACCTAAATCTATTGTTGTTACCACTGTTCGATAAACTTTATAAATAAGCGATTACTCACCTTGTTGTGTTCATTTAATGGACGAATTGTTAATTGTTAAAATAGTACTGTTTCTAATCACTATAGTTCACTAATTTACCAGTAATTTAATTTAATCACTTGTAGGGGATGATGTAACAGGTGGTTTGTAATAAATTACAGCATGCGCAGAACTCCGATGGAGGAGTAGGAACTTTCTTCAGTGGGCGGACTATGGATCTTTTCCACAGTTAACGAATCGGAGGCAGTGGAGACTTTATAAGTAATGCTTTTATTCATAAAGTTACAAATGACATCTAAAATACAGAGTTATATACTATGGGTTGACTACACGAGTTCACTCCAGGTCTCCTGCAGTTAAGAGTATGACTCAAGAATGCAACTGCATGAGTGATTAGTCCAGAGAAGGATTGGGTTTATATTCCCAAGAATATCAAGGGGTGAAGGGAAGAGTTGGAGAAGTCGGAAGAGGACGGCAAAGGAAGTTATCAATAGTTAATATGCTTAAGATGTCTGTGTGAAAGTGCCCTTTGGCTGAAATCAGTTATTGTTTAGTATTGATATAAGAGAACGGCGCCTTTTTCTGCAATCTGTTATTGTCCGCCAATATCTGTTGTTGATAAAGGGTCTTATTGTGTCTCGTCAGTACATTATAGATAACTATATCTAAGCTATCAGACATAGCTTCTTGACCTGGCTATCTAGGGCTTTGTGTTTTTATGTGAGAAACTAAAAGATAATAAATGATTCACCAAAAATAAAAGTTAAATTAATATTATTATTTGTTACGGATTAAGTCCATTCCGTAACTACTCTCCCCCTTAAGCCCGAAGCCTCTGAGTGCAATGTTTAAGTATGTCAGTTAGAATATGTCTTTGGTCTTCTTTAGTATTCTAAAGGAAAGTCTGGGTATATGGAGGATTGGTTCCATAGGATTAGGAACAGTTACATTTTTGCTTACAATAACACTCAATATTATAACATTACCTAAAACAGCTAATAATATAAAATCCTTATAGTAATATACAATAGTGCATTATTCCTGTAAATAATATTAAAATGAAATGACTTTATACAAACAAAATGTAGATATTTAAGATTATATGGTTTCCGATTAATTATCATGTTATAAATAAATATTTTCTTAAATTTATACATTTGTTCCTTAAATTTTCTTAAATAAAATAACATTCATTACTTAAAAGATGAAATTTACATGACATTATTTTGTTCAATATAATTTCATAAATTAATAATGTTTCTAATAACTTACAATTACTATAATTACAATTATTACTGATAAAGATATTATTATGTACAAACTGGTTAGTAGAACTATTGTTTGCAATACCTACTCCATTACAATAAAATATGAATTGAAAATAAATGCTTTAGATTTATAATCTATGTATATAGTATATAATAGTTAAATGTAGCATAAAATCATTCAAGCAACTGAAATATCTTTTATGAAGATTATAAATTTTTATTATTATTTATACATAAATAAGTTATATTTAAGATATGTCATCATTCCTCTTATTCTTGACTTAATATATCATTATTAATATTCCCCTTTTTTTAGAATTTAATTTTAATAAATTAAATTAATTAAATGTTTTTCATTATCATGATTCTTATCCATAATTTTATATCTTTAATATTATTTATTTATTTTTATATTCATTATTTTATGATGACTAATTAAAAACTAATTAGTATTTATTTATATATTTGCAATTTTTAATTTTATCACGATTTTTGTTTATTATTATATTTATACTTTCGTTAAGAGACTAAATGTATATATTTTTTTATTTATTATATTATAATTTAAAAGTCTAACCAGAGATTTTCGAATTGTTATAAATGAAATCTTGGACCACCGATTGTTGATTTTTGTCATCATCCTACTTCAACATCCATAAGTAAATTTGGTCGTCATCAGAAGGCCATTTATTAGTATATTTTATTTTGGATTTTAATTTTTTTTTCAATTTGATTATCATTTTTCCTAAACCGTGAATATTTCATACACCGTTTCTTAGCATTAAGATATTCTTTATTTTTGTTTGACCTTTGAGCATAAGAACTGTTTTATCTCCCTACTGTTTAAGGGTGCACAATTTTTACTGTCGACAATATTTTCAATATTTGTGATATACTCATCAAGTATTATATAATTTTTTTGTTGGAACCTTGGTTTTGGCCATTCACGATCTAAAGTATAATTCTTAAGTTTTTCTTGGCAATTCGAGATTTCCCGTAAATCTTCACTTGAAATTAAACTACTTTCGTTGTTATCCAAAGATTTATTGTCATTCAAAGGTAGAATATTAATATTTAAATTACTGTTAAGATCCTTGCCTATAATATTTTTCTTGGATTTATAAAATTGTTTAATTTTTTTTATAATATAATACTGTTTTTACATTTTTATTTTTAGAAGACGAAACATTTTTGAATGTATTATAATTTTGGTTGTTCGGGGGTTCAGATATTTTTGTTTCTTTAATGTTAGAAAGGTATTTATGTTTTTAATCTTCCTTACTAAAGTCAAACTTTTGAGATTCCGTTTCTAACATGGTTACATTTGTATTTGATTCGGTTTTTAATTCATTATTGTTGTTAATTATGTTTCGGTCCTGCTCAGGTGCTACATTAACAATTATTTTTTGAGAGCTTGTTTCCGCATTTATTGTATTTCGATTGGCAATTTTATTCTCAATGTAAGAAGGTTACTGATAATGGTTATATTCTTGCTTTGAGCTTTCTCTATGCCTCGAATCATTATATATCAAGTCATGAAATAATAAGTGGTATTCATTTTGCATAAGGTACCTTAAGTCTTCAAGATTTTTCAATTTGTCTGATTTGGTCATTAGATATGTTCTGATATGGAGGGGCATATTTGTATTAAAAATCTACAGAATCTGTTTTTCAAGAAAATTAATAGTAACATCACGATCAGCAGTATTTTCAATTTTAAGTCTAGATATTATTAGCATTCTATTCTTTTCGAGGCGTTTTATGAAATTAAGTGGATGCTCCTTATGGCCAATTTTAGTTTTATGTAATTTGTTAGTTAATTGCTCAGTTGATCTACAATCACTAAAATTGCGCTCTAAGTAATATAAAAAATCATCTGTAGTTTTAAATTCGCAAGTTATATTAATGTAATCCTCAGTAATATGGGATAGAACTTTGGAAAGCAGTATTTTTTCATTAACATACCTAAAAGAGTTAGTTTCATCACAAACAATATTTTTAGCACGTCTTACAGCGGTTACAAACTTTAATAAATTATGCGGTTTACCATTAAAGTCTGGTATGTGATTATAGTCCACGGAATTTATTTGGATTGATGCTATTTTAAAACAATTTTTAAATATTAACTTTTCCACAAAATACTTAAATTAAACTTCAATAACCTGTTATTGACAATTAAAATTAATATAATTTAAAAAAAATTCAATAATTCCATAGAATTAAAAAAAAATATATAAAATTAAACATACAAATTACAAAATAAATAAACATTACAAATAAACTTCTTACTACGGTGATGCTAACATTTCTTCTGGATCTGCAGTGAAGTCCAGAGAGACTCAGCAGGACATCTCGGGTGAGCAGTGCCTTAGCTGGAGAAGTAACCTGATGATGTTCTGTAGTTGGGTAGCTGGCTGTAGGTCCACTCTAGAAGCATCTTCAAGGCTACAGACTGCCAAGTTGATCAAAATCTAGTTTAATACTTGCAGTGCCTGTTGCGGGCGCCAGTTAACGAATTGAAGGCAGTGGAGACTTTATAAGTAATGCTTTTATTCATAGTGTCTGTTACAAATGGCATCTAAAATACGGAGTTATATACTACGGGTTGACTACACGAGTTCACTCCAGGTCTCCTGCAGTTAAGAGTATGAATCAAGAATGCAACTGCATAAGTGATTAGTCCAGAGAAGGATTGGATTTATATTCCCAAGAATATCAAGGGGTGAAGGGAAGAGTGGGAGAAGTCGGAAGAGGACGGCAAAGGAAGTTATCAATAGTTAATATTCTTAAGATGTCTGTGTGAAAGTGCCCTTTGGCTGAAATCAGTTATTGTTTGCTATTGATATGAGAGAAAGAGACCTTTTTCTGCAATCTGTTATTGCCCCCCAATATCTGTTGTTGATAAAGGGTCTTATTGTGTCCCGTCAGTACATTCTAGATAACTATTTCTAAGCTATCAGAGATAGCTTGACCTGGTTATCTAGGGCTTTGTGCTTTTATGTGAGAAACTAAAAGATAATAAATGATTCACCAAAACTAAAAGTTAAATTAATATTATTATTTGTTACGGATTAAGTCCATTCCGTAACTCAGGATTTGGCGAAATGGAATTTCGGAGAGAGAAATTATATATGGGTAGAAGTGTGGGAAGTAATGCTGAAAGGCAGAGTTTGATAACTTTAACAGGTATTTGGTTAGGACCATAATAGTTCGTTTTGGATTTAAGGGTGGCAGAGAATAGGTCAGTAGGAGAGTTTTCGAGAAAATAAAACTTATCAGGATCGAAGGGGGTTTCGGTGATAGAAAAATATGACCGGTCAGATGGAAATGTGGATGGAAAATGGTTAGTGAAAAAAGAATTTAGCGTGTTTGGATCGACTGGATACTGTGTGCAGGTTTTCGAGGTAACAGCAGAGAGGTTCTTAAAGATTTTCCATTTGAATTTAAGGTTGGGTTCTTGAGATAAAACGTTATTAAAGTATTGGGATTTGGTGCGGCGTAGGGTCTTTTGTGTGAGATTTTGTAGGTAATTAAATATGGAATAATCCTGAGGTAGTCTAGTACGTCTGTATCATCTTCTAGAAATTTCTCTTCTCCTCATTAGTTCTCTTATTTCTGTATTGATCCAAGGAACGGGAGGACATCTAAAGATACATGTTTTTAGAGGTGCGTGACGATTGATGAAATCGAGGAGGTTGGAGGAAAGGCATTCAACCATGTCATCGATGGAGGAGAGAGAATAAATGTGTTCCAAGGAAGCGGAAAGGCAATCGAGAAAAGTTCTGAAGTTTTCAATGGTTAAGGAATCAAGATCTCTCTAGGAAATTTGTTTGGGTTTAGGTGTAGGAGTAGAGAAGTTGTATGTTATTTCAATAAGATCGTGGTATGAAAGGAAGGATACTGGAATTTGCGTAGAGGATAATAGATTATGGGGGGGGGAATCAATAATAAATAAGTCTAGCAAAGTATCAGTGGATTGAGTGTGTTGAAAGGGTAC